ATGACACGCCCAAAGCGACATCTTTGTGTGATCGGAGACTCAGACACAATAAGCAAGTACGTACCCTCTTCGTTCCCAATTCATGTCCCCAGCATCACTACCCTTCCTTGTTGGTCCCACAGCCGATACCTCATCGTCATCGCGGAGTCGCGGACTTCGGTCATACCCGAGAACGTGGGCGTCGGGACGTGGTCTTTGCGAACAAGCAAATCTGAAACCCGCGTAACTCGAAACTGCCGTGACACGCCCCCTTGCTTTGTCACACAGGAACCCTTCGTCACCCACACCGAGACCAGTCCCTCGGCACCCTGTTATACGGCGGAGGATTCTATACGCTCGTCACACCACAGCGCCGTGCATTGTTGCTGACTTGATTGATTCACAGGGGCTCCAAGTTTCTAAAAGCCTGGATGCAGCATCTAGAAGACCACGCCGATCTCAGGTATCCGAACTTGGCAGACGTCTACGTAGACCAAGAAAACGGCGGATGAGGGGTGTAAGCAAGCGAGGCTGTAACACATGCGCTGTCACGGGCTCCCAAACAAACAATGTCGGAGTTGTGGTTCGCTACTACATGTTGGAGTGGTGTGGGGAGGACATGGTCTCAGCGCTATGGTTTGGTTCGCAAGCGAAGCGCGATACTGCAGCCATGGCATGCGGCGTGATTTTAGCTGCAGTAGTCCCGCGTCAAAGTCGCGAGTCGAGACAGCTCGCGCCAAAACACCTACATACGCCGAATGTCATCGCCAAAGTGGCATGCGGCATGAGACTACGGTGGTAAGACGGCGAAGCAGGGCTTGCATGCGATTACATATATGCGCAAAAGAGAAACGAGAAGGACCAAAAGAGCGCGCAGAATAGACAGCGAGTAATGCGCTCATTCTCTCAAACTCTTTATGCTGAACGGTGTCGTGCAGGATAAAGTGTGTGTGGTGGCGAGTCGTGACCATCAATACATGGCGCAATACTATCGAGCAATCAGCGCAGGCCGGAAACTTCATCAAAACGGCGCCCAGCGCTTGCGACGTCGCTTCTGTCAACGTCTTTCGAGACCCTTCGGCTACCGTCGACCAGCCTCCCCTATTAATCATGTTTACATCAACGTACATCGTCAACAGGTAACGCGTGCAGTAGAGTACCAAACAGTCGTGATAGACGGTGTGGTGTGGGCCAGAGCAATGAGCCCCAATCAGGCCGTCGTCGGAGTTAGTCCGCGGACAGCCTCAAACGCGTTAATGCAGGCTGGAGCAAGGATTCCTGTTAGTCTGCACGGCCGAGGGTCCATGACATGACATGCGTCCTGGCGACCCCATGTCTTCTCGAGCTCAGACCTGACGCGACAAGAGGAGGGTTCGTGGAACGCCTCGGTCAGTGCTGCAAGCCGCTATTTGTAGACGCAGAAGGATTAGCTCTGCGACGGCTTTACTGGGATTTGAGATGGCGGTTCTGGACGAGTGGTAAGTTTGAGAGGTCGACAGGGAAGCTGAGGTCCAAGACGTGTTAGCCGCATGTTTCAGAAGGGCTGAAGAGGACAGTGGCCGAGCGCGCCTGCGCGTGCCGTGCTGCAGCCAACGAACGTATCGATTGCAACAGTCCGCTTTGGCGAAAACATGCAGCTGTACTGGACGCAAAACCCCACAGCCCCATCGCCAACAACCTGCACGTCGTTCGTTCGCGCAGTGGTCCGACTTGTTGGCCTCTCATGCAACGCTTGTGCAGCAGCGATCAGGCCTTTATTTGTTGCTGCAGCCCCCCAGCCCCCGTTGTGTTGTGGTCAAAGGTAATGCCGGTCATACTGCTTGATTCGCAAATGCGCCATCAATAATAGCCTCCTCCTTCCCGCCGCGCCCCCCATCCGACTAACCCTCCCCACTCTATTGGCACCCTTGTCCAAAGGGTACATGACGCTCTCGGTCTGATACATAGACCCTAAGAGCGCCGCCCCCCGTTCTTTTGCTGCTCTTCTCGTTACGTCGTCTGTGGCACGTCTCTCTATTGTTTAACCTCGTCGCTCTTTCTGATCGAGTTCGCTTCTTTCGAGTCTTGGGGGCTATCGTTGTTAATTCCTTATTGCCTATTCTTGCCTTGCATCTATTTTCGGAGGAGGGACGTTTGCCGCGCTTGTCGCTCCGGTCCGCCTTTGCTTTGCTTCTTATCCATCAACTGCTTTCGCAACATCGGTGATGGTAGTCGAGATCCTCACGCTCGCTGGGTCATCCCGGTAAACCTCGCCTAAGCGCAATTTCCAGAACTCGTCCGCAGAAGCGCATTCGCCAACAGTGCCCAACACTCGGAATCCAAAACATCGCAGCATCCATATGCTTCAAAGAGAAGGCTTTGTCGTCGCCGATATGAGTGCGTCGACGCCCTCGCCCTCGCCTCTTGAGCGCTCCAGCTGGAAGGCTGAGGCTATCAGAAGAGGGAACTTAAAAATTAGCGGGCCGATCCCTATTACCGAGGATGTGCCGTTGAATGAAGAGGAAGAGAAGGAGTACGCGGCAAATGGCGCGCTGGACCGGACACTGCAGCCGCAGGACGCGCCAGAAGAGCAGTATGAAAGGCCGCAAACCCCGCCAAGACCACTTCAGTCTCCTCCGCCTGTGCCTGAACAGCATATGTCAGCCTTGCGATCAAATCCTGTGGGAGAGCAGCAGCCCCAGCGCGATTCGGCTGTTCCCGAGCGCCCGATTTCTTCAAGATCCCCGCCAAGAGTGCGACACTTGGACGAAGTACAGCGCGAAAGCATTGTGCCATCGACTTCAATCGCTTCCCCGTCGCCGTTTCGCTCCACGCCAGAGAGCGCCGGTAAAGCTGCGCAGAAAAAGAATAAGCGCAAGAGCGGCCTCAGAAATGTCTTCCGTAAGATGTTCGGGCGAAAAGGCCCGGACCGAGCGGACGATCTGGAAGAAGAGCCAATGCAGCGTGGCCACAGCTACCACCATAGTGTGAGTTTGTCTAGAACAGCATGACGAATGAAATCTGACGAAGAACAGGACACTACCATGCTGAGATCAACACCACCAAGAGAACCAAGGACACCCCCGTCCAATCCTCGGATATCTGATCTGCCAGTGGAGGAGCTACAGCCATTACATCCGCTAGGCCAACATCTCCCGTACCCCATGAACGTGAATGCGCCGCCGGCAAGTCCGCCGAAAGAGTACCTTACATTCGATACGGACAGGCCGGATCTCGGTCGCCGAAGAGCCACGCTGCCCACTGTACCAAGTGCCATTACTCATCGACACAGTTTCGACGAGCCTCGGGAAAAGCTGGCAGCGTGGGACGAACAGGCTGAAGAAGATGAGATGTCTCCCGGTATCGGTATCGCACTGTCTAGCCCGACTCAAACAGTAACGTCCAAACACGACAGACGGAGATCAAGAAGTGCAGATGCTCTTCACAATCTCGCAAAAGAGCGCGCCTCGACGGAGAGAGGCAGGAGTGCGGAGATCAAGTTCTGGAGGGAGAGCTACATGTCCGGCAGCATCTATAGTAGACCGCAAACAGCGAAGACTGTAGAGACGGTCCGCACCGTGCCGATGCAAGAGCCCATGATCCGAGAACCAGACAACGAGTCGTTCAACGAGATGAGCGCGACGCTCGTTCAAGCGGACGAATCGCAGACCGCGACGCCGATTACGGAAGAGCCAAACCGCGAGCAAGAACGTAGTGTTCAGCCCCCAGTCTCAGCCTTCAATTTTGGTGACCTGAAGAATGCGTTGTTTGGACCCAAGGAAGAAACTATCCCAGAATCACCGCAAGTCCGAAGCATTTCGCCGCCGCCTCCGCCACCAGCGAAGAGCCAACATCGCATACCCATCGAGGATCGCGTTCAAGATCTTGAATCCAGGTACTCTAATCTCGAAACACTCACCCGCCGGATGTCATCCCGTAACAACCGGCAAACCATCATCCTCGAAAACGCACCTCGCAACCTGCGATCAAGGAACCGGAGTTCGTCCGCGTCTGCATCGCGCTCTCACTCAAGATCGGCACCGAGCATTCATCAAGAGCTCATCGTCCAATCAAGTAGTGAGACCCTTGAGCCTGAGCCTGCGCCTGGTTCTCCAACGCTTGCCGGACCTCCCGTTCCTCACACTGGAAGCAACGAGGAGAATGCGCGAGCGCTGCGGAACGTCTATGAGGCGCTCAGACACGAGAGGAGCGCGAGGAAGGCCTTGGAACAGCAGGTTCGCACTCTGCAGCACGATGTGTCGGACTTGCATGCCCTGGTGAACAAGCTCATCGTTTCGGCGACTGCCACATCGCCGTCGTATCCTACTCCTTCGCCCGACACCTTGATCATCTCGCGTGAAGGCGATCAGCGGATAAGCTGCTCCACACCGCGAGCTCCAGCGCACGACCGCAATATCGTCTACGGCCAGCCCAGCCACGACAGGAACCAGCGATGGGCCAACGACGACGCGAGCGTCTACTCTGAAGACCTGGCCCGCAAGCCGAGCTACGACGATGTCTCGCCAGAAGTATGGGCTACGCCGAAGGAGGAAGGATTTGATGGGAGTGGGTTCTTCCATGGCGACGACCGGGTAGGAGCATATGCTTGAGGGCTTTTAGGTCGCTTGATGCGGTCTCGAGACGTGGAATGATTGGTAAGGTTTTCTTTCCTTCTGGATACGGCCGGGCATGGCATGACCTTTTGGATGTTTGTAAGATACCCAGCGTGTGCGTTGATATGGCGCGCGCTTCTGTCGTTGAGCGATTTATCATTTCTTGTGTCTATTGTCTGGTTAGCGAGCGAGCGTATTGAAATGCATCCATCATTGATCAGCTGTGTAAAGATCTTTTGTCGTAGACGTAACAGTGCCGGGGCAGGTGGTGAGGCGAGAGATGCTGGGTGAGGTGAGTGGCCACGGAAAGCGCGACACGCTCTCACTTTGTGGCGCCTGGGCTCCCGACTTCCTGGATGATTGAATACCGGACATTCTCCTCTTTAAAACACCCACTCGCATACGGTACGTCAGCTGCAAGACTCAAATATGGTGCAGAGGGGTTTCGAAGCGGACGCTACCTTGTAAGTACAATGCGGAGTCGCACACATCAACTGACGAATTAACAATGAGCAGTGCCAACGAGAACATGATTACCTTCAAAATTGGTCCTAATGGCGATGCCGTGTTCATGGTTCCTGAAGGCCGCATCCGTGCCTCGTCCGAGTTCGCCGACGCAGCTATGAGGGGACCATGGCAAGAATCGCAAGAGCGCGTCATCGCCCTACCCGAATTCGACAAAAAGACCTTCGGTACCTATCTCCAGTGGCTTCTTACGGGCGTTGTTCACACCAAAGCCGGTTGCGCCGATGGAAACAAATCGATCGAGGCACGCTTGTACTCAGAGATCCTCCGGCTACCCAACCTATCTGTTCTAGGTCACTATCTACTCGACAACGACTTTAGAGACTCTATCAATGATGCTCTCATAGAATGCACGGCCGACTTACACCGTAATGGCTCCAAGTTCCCAGCAAGTTACGGTCCAGACTTCTACGATAAAACACCAGATCAGTCCCCGATTAGAAAGCTTGTCGTAGATCTCGTTGTCTGGGACATGCGAGAATTTCATGTCCTGAGACTGAAGACCGATCGAGATACTATGCATCCTGACTATATAATGGATCTTCTTCTCGCTGTGTCCAGCAGGCTTGTTTCTGGGACTCCTGGTAAGTCACCACTTGATGGGTGGGACACGAGCTGCAAGTACCACTGTCACGGCGACGAGAAGCCTTGCTACAGGAAGAAAGCTGACACGTACGTAATATGTTCTGTTCATGACATGACCGCAGCTAAATTGGTCTAGGCCTCGCGTTATCCCAACAAAACGCCCAGCTTCTGACGAAGCCCAGTCACCGGATGCAAAGCGACAAGCTTCAGGATAGGATGAGCATTGTATGGAAGACTCTTCGGGTGTTATACAGTCTGGTATGACTAGAAGTGTGGCGTGACTGTCAAGCGGTGCTTGGGTGAAACGGAGGGTGATGAAGACCACGTGGTATCAATGTGGACTACCCGTCATCATCGATGGCGAAATTATGATTTGCTAAAACAGCTACAAGGCGCGTACAAAAGGTGTTGTTCATCATGCAAAATACTTTAAGCTGTGAATAGTGAGGTGAAGGTGAGGCAGTCGCAGGGCGCTCTTTCCTAATTAGTGAGAAATAATCCAAGGTACCGCACCACCCCCACTCAGATAATTTCTCTGGAGCCCCAGCTCCGATCCTTCTACCTCTACTGACAACGCGGTTAAGCTGCATCGCTGCGACACAACGCCGACCGCAGCGGCGGCAGTAACAGCACTAGCATTTCTCAACCTCCAGCCAAAGGTCGCCACAATGCCGCTCTACTCGCAGTCCAAAATGCCTAGGTAAGTCAACATCAAACCCAGATGATCCAGCAGCTAACAAAAGTAGCATGGGAACCAAGGTCGTCACGGTGCGCGTTGGGCGTGAACCCAACCACACCGATTTCACTGTCCACGAAGATCCCATCCGAGCATCATCCGCATTCTTTCAGACCGCCTTTCGTCACCCATGGCGCGAGTCACTGGAACGCGTCGTTCGACTTCCAGAGTGCGACGCGATAGATTTCCAGATCTACACCCATTGGCTCTACTCCGGTCTTCTTTGTGCCATACCTTCAGAAGTTAGCGGTTCCAACGGCGTCAGCTCGAGTCTCGTGCGTGGCTATCTCCTCGGCGATTACCTTCAAGATGCGAGCTATCGAGATACCATTATTGATGGCTTGATTGAGTGGGATCGCCATGCAGATGACGCACCACGCACAAGTTTCCTGTCATCATGGATCAACATTGTCGATGACAAGACTAGCGAAGGAAACCCGCTTCAAAAGCTCTTGGTAGACATCACTGTCTGGAGAACCAGTCATGTCTGGTGGACTTCCGTTATCGCAAAGCTGCCTGCCAATTTCGTTCGCGATGTTTGCATTGGTCTCTCTACGCGGTACAGAGTCGATGGCGCCGTCTTCCCCGTGCGGATTCAAGCGAACAATTGCGCATATCATTCTCACGGAGACAAACCTTGCGGCATTACCGAACAACCAAAGTAAAGCGGCATCATGAGATGTGCAGAATGGGGCTGACGCCACAATAGGACTTCGGATATCCTTAGCTCTTCTCCATCAAAGTCTTCCGGCTCACCTGTCCAAGAATCTCAAGAACAATTTCCCAATTTGGAACGGATCAGGGCCGGTAGTCGGGGTAGGGGTTCTCCTAATGGACGCGGAGGTGGACGCGGCTACCGTGGCGGACGTAGACTTGACGGATAGGATCGTGCGAGCTGCTTAGACACTATGAGAGTTTCGACCGATTCAACTCTGTCTATCTCAAATCCGCATGCATACAGACAAATGTTCACGGAACAACTGGGTCAGTATACTCATCGCTAGGCCCTCCTAATGAGACACAATAACATCTGGTGCTGTTTTTTATGTGTATACAAGATCAGACTATCGTCACATACGGACAAATATATCGTGAACTTGTTTAAAAGATGAGCATTAATCATTACTACTGTATACTCGCTAGTACGCTTCAAAACAAATCACTCCCACCACCACCACCTAATCATACACTCACACCAACTCTCCCTTAGTTAACATGGGGAATGTAAGTAGGACCCCTACCCGCCTCAAACGCAGGTCCAGCAGGTCCATCAACGTAAGCAGTATCGTGGTCGGCAACATAAGCAGCATTGGGGTTGGCGATGTACGCGCTATCCCTCATGCTCTCGCTGTACCTAGCCTCCTTGACAACCTCGGGCCTCTGGTCACCCTTGCGGCCGAAGCTCCAGGCGCCGAGCAGAACAAGAGCGAAGATACCGAGGTCGCATAGCTCGCCGAAGATGATGAAGAGGAAGGCGAGCGCCTGGTTGGTGGTGCGTGAGTAATTGTTTGTGTTGCGGTAGAGGAGGACGAGCTGCGCGATGGAGAAGGCGTTGCGGACCCAGACGATGGGGGTGACGAGCATGACGAAGCGTGTGAGGGCTGACTTGGAACGGTTCTAGATGTCGTCAGTACATGCATTTGCACAGAAGGAGGGGGGTAAACTTACACCGACAACACCGTTCTTCTTGATCCCAATCCAGCACAGAATGGCCTCAAGAGTAGCACTAGTCGACGCAGCGATAACAGTGGCTACGTAAACAACATACAGTGTCCTCACCATGTAGTCGACAGCAATAAGACTGGGGTACGCCAACGCCGAGTTTCCACTACCGCGGCGCGCAAGACCAACAGCCCAGCTAGCAAAGCCAAGAGCAAGGATAGCCAACATCCAGAAGCCGTTCAAAGCCCAAGACAGGACACCAGGCTCCTTGATGCCAGTGCCGTTGTTTTGAACGTGGTTGGCGTGGATCCAGATGGCGCCGACGATGCAGGCGTTCATGATGATCATGGCGCCTTGGTAGGTGAAGGAGAGGATAGAGATGATCTTTCCATACTTGATGGAGTCGTTGTTGCCGAAGGGTTCGGTGTACTGGGGGTAGGCGTAGGCGGAGGTGATGTAGAAGGGGGAGGGGAGGCGGGACTGAAGGGCCACGATAGAGGATTGCGCGGCGTAGGCGATCATAAGGGTGGTAAGACCCATGATCAGGAAGAGCTGTGTACCCGTGGAACTGTTGTGTGTTAGTTGATTTGACATTGGATAGAAGGGGCATGGATTGATGTACCTGTGCCTGTTCAGAGTTGACCTGTTAAACTTCTTGAATGTACGTGGACGTCCAGGGCCGCCGACGAGCTGGCGACCGAACAACGCAAGAGCGGCCAGAATGAGGATAATGGAGCCGCCTGCTGTAACGACATGGAGGGCGAAAATTGCCTGGACGGTGGACGTGGTGTTGGTGATGGCCATTGTGCGTGTTCGGTGGGTGTGCAGGACAGCACCCTTGTGAATTAAGTGATGAAATTGATTATTATACTGATGATACTCCACCAACATGCAAACTTGAGGGTCTTTATCATATCAACCGAACCTATGCGGTCATACCTCACGAGCCCAGACCATGACGATGCCTTGCGATGAACTGCTGTCAAACTTTACCAACGTTGACGCGCATCGAGACCAACAGCTCTCTGGCCTGGAATTAGCCATGTGACTAACTGTGGCCTCCGCAAAGATCGAGCAATGAACGGGTTCGGTGCGAGTCGCGACGTTGAAATGAGCTTGGGTGAATGACGTTTAGCGGCGCGCGGAGAGTAGCGGAATGACGTCGCGCGTCGCTAGCAGAAGCAACATGGCCGTCGCAGCCGGTTGCTTTTTCGTTTTGCGTGAACGATTATTTGAGATATTTGGCTTGGGCCGCCGAAGATCGTCGCAGTCACGGTAGTGCCATCGTGGAGGTGTGAGCGCGGGAGATGTGTTCGATGGCGTGATGATCTGCCCAGGGGTGTTCTTGTTTGTGGGCTCGACGGTGACGCGCTAGCGGTCGGGAACGTGATGTGCCATTGCCAAGTGGGCTCTGCAGCAGGATTTTTCGAGACTTTCAAGAACACGACGATGATAATGAAAGTGGTCGCGCATCGAACGCACGAGGATCGAGCCGAGGTCAGGAAGGAAGTCAATCAGGATGGATCACGGACTGGATGATGGCTCTTCATCTCGCAGTCCATCAATCGCTTTTCCCAACCCCCACAACCCTCCCACTGCCTCGGAGTCCCAGCTCTTCAGGCGTCATGAACCTCCGCACGGCCTCAATGTCGTTTCCGCCCCAAGCACCCTTCCCACTGCTGCGCTTTCCGTGTTGTGCTGTTTCATACTCATCTTTGTGCCATCCACACCCAAATATGCAAAACATGCACACGACAACGAACAGTGCCATGACTGCGAGGATGAAGATGAATAGCGACCAGATACCGGAACTAAGCCAGGTTACAAAGGACGCAGAAGCCGAGTTGACAACATGAGTCGCTGTACCCTTCTTGCCGTTGTCGTCCCAATCGTGGAACCACATTGCTGTCTTTTGTATTCGCTTGCCATTGATGCTTGACTGTGCGCGCGGAATGAGTGCAGCACGGATAATCTCGTATGCGCTTGCTGGGTCACCGGCGGACAACAGGGGACGCTGCAGAAGGATGAGTTCCAGAATCTTCTGCTCTTTTCTGTCCATGACGATGGTGAGATCCGGCGAAGTCAAGTCAGTCCACAATTGCATGATATCGAAGTGCAGCACCAATGCATTGGAGTCTTTGACGTGGCGCAAGGAGTAGGCGTATGAGGCGCCAAAGTAAGCGCCCCCAACGTTGTCAAGTTGATCAGATGCGACGAGCTTGTCAAGATCATCTTTCGATGTGTCCAACAAGACTTGGTTAACATATAGTTTCGGTAGAATCTTGGAGTCTCCTAAAAGTGGGGCATTGTTGATGCTTAGATGCGCTGAGTCGTAGGGAAGGGAGATGTTCAGAAGCTGGGGGACGTTAGCGGGCGATTTGGTCTCCTTGACAGTAGGGATGGTTTACCAGAGCGTTGTCGTCTTTTCTCTGAGCCCATGGCGCATCGTTGCCTTTTGATGTGTCTTGGTATAGGAAAGGGCACCCAACACATGGGATCTTGGCAATCACGTTGTAGCCCTCCGCAACTGTCGTAATTTCCGGCGCGACTTCAGCAGCTCCGCATCGCGCAAACGCGAGAATCGCAGCGAGAGGCGCTATTCGGAATATCATGATGAGAGGCACGATGATGAATTGTAGTAGGGTCACCCGTGTTGACACGTTTGAGGTTATGTGGCTGGGTCTGTATGTAAGCTGGGGCGGGTGGGGCGGCTTCCATGGGTCATGTGAAGTCGCGAGCTAGCGTGTTTGGAATACGAGATGCAGCACTCACATCGCTCCCAGTCTTCACAGAAGTAAGACGCTGTTTGCCAATCGTATTTGCAGCAGCATCGGGATATGAGGTTCTGTGTCAGGCATGATTTTAAAGAACCAATGTACAGCACAACTCGTTTATTGTGCATCAGAGGTACCTCGGTATTTATTCACATCATGTATAGCCCAAAATCAACCATGTATACGCTCAGCCCGATAACGACCCAATCGCGTTACGCCTCGCATCTATTCCCTCGACGCACAGCTTTATCGGTCTTGGACGTTTCGTTGAATTTTATCCAGTCTCCTGGCAATCAACGCCATTCTCTCTCATCAACAACCCCATGATTTCGTTGTCATCGTGACCGTCGTATATACCATACTGCGCTCCTTCAAGCACTTTACTGGGAACCTCCAAATCATCTTCTGCCACCTCGTCTGCTGTATCGATGAACTCAGCTTCAATCCTCTTCGACAAAGCGTCTCGGATCGTCTTACACGCGGAAAGAGCATCCTTTGCTTCTTTGTCTTCCAGGTGTTCTTCGATATCGGCGAGCTTCTTGAGGATTTGGGCGCGATTTGTGGTCGGACTTTGTAGCCCAAGTCTAGGATCCAGCGTCAAGTGACTGGCAACCGCTAGAGCGCCAATCTCGATGATCTGTCTGCTTCGCGCAAGTTCATCAGGTTGTGTCATATGCCGAATGACCGGATTATCCGAGCGAACTGCAACATCTGTCATGCCGGCACTGTTGTAACCAGTGCCATGTTTCAGATCCCGGCGATCTCTCATCTCGTTCAGCGGCGTACCGATAGGAGTAGAGAACATGTCGGCGACGAACGTATCGTTGTACGTATAGTACGGTATGCTTGTTGGATTGAGTGGCCTTCCTCTCGGCGCCGGACCTTGACTCACACTTCTTCCATGTTGGAAGTGCGCGGCATGCCTTCTCTTGTGTTCTGGTGTAGCTGATCTCGCACGCGGTGCTTGAAGCCGAACGAAAGTGGGATTGGTGATGCTGTTGGCTGCGGCAATGCGATCTGTATCGCCAGTGCTCAAAGATCGGCGACGACCGTAGCTTTGCGATGGCTGTTCTGAGTGGAGGTAGGCATGGTTTGTTTGAGATCGCATAGGCCGAGGACGATCGTTGAGGTCTGGATCATCAGTTGTTGTTGGGAAGGCTCGTTGCAGATCTAGCGGGTAGGGATGGGGTGTACTTGGTCCGGGAGTCGGGTATGCCGCGGCGGTTTGGCCGAAGTCGTAATTTGAGAAGTTGGGAGTCGAAGTTGTGGAGGTGTTTGGTGAGTCAACAGCTGCAAAAGCACCGTGTTCATATGTAAGACTGAAGTCATCGAGTATATCGCTGTTGTTCATCGAGAAGATAGGTTGCCTTGAGCCATCTGATCCGAATAGTTCGTTGAAGTCGGCTTGAGAGAGCTGTTCCTCCTCGTCCATGGATGGAAGGAACAGATCGGCGGCTGTGTGACTGAGAGGCGCATTTGGCTGAGACATTCTGTAGGTTCCCAGTAGGATTGCAATAATGAGTAAAGCGCGTATTGTTACCGAGATCTGCGGCTCTGTCGATACGGGAAGGATGTTACACAGGAAATGGGAGGCTGCGCAAACGATGTCCAGATATAATTACTGTTTGGTCCTTCCGTTGGCCTAAGCTGAAACACGACGCGGTGAGTTTGGTGAGCATAGATGGTGGCGCTGGAGTAGGGCAATGGCCGGATGCCTACGTTGAGTACGTGGTCGATAGGCAAACATCGCTCCTGTGCATACAGTCAGTGCTCAGGCTCGTTTCGCGTAATCCTTGGCTATCTTGTCATAGGAGGACTATTTGCTGTGATGGGAAGTAGAGAATTAGTTGCGACATGCTCGAGACATTTGTCAGAAGTTGATTTCGCCAGTCAGCTGCACTGCGCATCCATTGTCTCGCAACAGTGATGCAGATCCGAATCGCATCTGAAGGCTCTGTATGAGAGACAATTCACTGATTGCCTTTTTTGACTCAAGACACTTTGCTGTCAAAGATTCAGGTCTTCTGTATTCGTTAAGACATCTAGGTCATCACCTCATAAACGTGTTCCCGCAACTGGTCGGCCCCGGAGACCCTAACGTAGGGCACAATGGATGGCAGTCCTTCCCAAAGGCGATATCGTACATCCGTGCTATACAGGAGAATGCGGCTCTGCAGACCAAAAGACGTGTTCACTCCTTCTTGTTCTCGCCGTCCTTTCCCTTCTTCTTGTCCCAATTCCAAACCTCCCAAATCTGTTCAAATATCATATCACCATAACTCTTTCCTTCTTCAATGGCTTTCTTTTCTTCCTCCAATCGCCGCTCCTTCCAACCCTCCTCCTCATCACCCATCCACAGCTTCCCAAGTATACCCTTTTCTTGCCCTTCCTTCCGCTCCAGTGTCCTCCGACTCTTTTCCCTTTCCTCTTGCAATATCTTCTGCATCTCCTTTGCGCGTTCGGTCGGTAGGTCCATGGCTCGCACTGGACTGAGGTTTTGTACGAGGCCGCGGCCTGTTCGTAGTGTGATGAGATGATCGGCGGAGAGGTAGAAGCCGATGCCTAGAGAGAATGTATAGAGGTCTAGTTTTCGTGGTGGGAGTATGGCTATTATTGGACATATGACGAGGCCGCCGATGGCTAGGTTACGTGTTATGCGCTGGTATCGGGCTTGTTGTTCCAGAGCGAGGCGCTCTTCTGGTGGGATGGGCATATTTTGGACGGGGTTCGGTGTCGCCATTCTGGTGAACGTGTTCGCGCAGTCGGTATTGGAAATACAGTGGATTTCGGAGTGGATTGATTGCGCGTATAGGAGTTTGAGCAGGTAGAGTGCAGGGGTGATGTCAGAGTAGTTCGGTGGTCGCAATGTCAAAAAGTTCAATGATGCAAAGACGGCGGCTAGCTCCCGCCTCGGCTGCGGCTTCCCCTTCGGAGCGGAGGTGCTGCGGAGATCTGAAGCCACGCGAACAGTACTCAGTGCACAAGGTGACTTGGTTTAAACCGCTCGTGATTCAAATGCGCCTATTGATATGCTGTTCTCGACTCCCATTCCCGTTACGCCGTTGTCCCCATCCTGCCCCAACCATGCATAACCGACATCATAAAAACGCGCAAATCTCTCGCTGATTATCGTTGGAACTTCCTCCTCTTCACGTCGACTCTGTCTTCAAAGCGTGGACTCTGCCTCCCTGGCTTCTCTTCTGTTCTGTTTCCTAGATGCTCAAAGGTTCCACTACTCCTCAGCCGTTTCGTTGGGGTTCTCTCGTACTCGCTCCCACTTTGTCCGCCTCTTTGCCCTTCTTCATCTGTCCCAGCCGGCCCGTCTGACCTGGGTCCATCCTCGTATGCATCGAATTTCCGCTTCTGCGCAGTGCTCGGCGTCTGCATCAAGCGCCGCAAACGGCTCTCTTGTAATCGCTTATTCACTTCTTCGGTGACATCGACATGTTGAACCACGTAGTCGTCTTGGATCCTGGCTCGCTTTGCGCGTGGTGTGGGCGATTGATCCACGAGAGGAGATATGGCATGCGGGTTGGAGTTCGGGGGTTGCGCATTTGGTGTAGTAGAGGCATGTTTCGCGCCCTCGATACTAAGACGCTTGTTTGAAGTCTTGACCTGTCGCTTGTTAGCTTTTCGGCATCGCGTGCGCAAACGGCACAGCATACCTTCTTCTTTTCCGCCAGACCTTCGTCCTCGAGCTGGTCCCTGAATCTCTTCATGTCGTCTTGTAACCTCCCCGACTTGTTTCGCAGTGAGATCAAGTCCGTTGCCAACCAGTCGGGGTCATTGTGATCCGTCGCATCGAGCGTCTCATTGAGAAACAGGAGTTGCGCGCGTAGGTTCTCGATGTGTTGATCAAAGTCCTGGAGAATGGATGAGAAAGGTGATGGGACAGGTAATTGTGTGAATTACCTCGAGCGAAAACTTCGCCATGTTGTATGGCAGAATTGTGGACGGACAAGAGAAACCGCATGCAGGAGGCTTCAACTTCCTTGCGGAGTCCCGAGCGCTTGAGTTAACATCCTCGTTCCGATCGGAACGTTCCGACCTTGGCAGCATCTTGAGATCTTGCCTCTTCACCACGAAGGGCCACTGTGATAGGTCAGACATGACATGCTGCATAGCTTGGTCAAAAGGAGATCGAAATTGTGCGGTGGGAAGTAATGGTATACCGTCACGGTTAAAATTGACATGTAATAATTTCACTACATTGCCCCATGTACTCACTACCTAGGTGGCATCTTGAAAGGTAGGACCTTTGGAAGCTCGTAGCCCTCGTATGCGACATTCAATGCTTTAAAGTAATCTTCATGCTAGAAGACCTCTGCGTCATATGCGACCCAGCTTGACCTGCATTCTCTCTCTTGTGTCACATGCATCGCACCGCTGTCGCTGGCCGCTGTGGACTAATCCCATGACCACGCGAGGAAGTTGCAGATGAATGAAAGCGATCATTGCCCAAGAGGAACCGGCAAATCCGATGGTCTCGCGCAGCCTGAGTTGACGTTGGTGTCAAGTAGAGATGACCACGATAGCTTTGTGACTCGATGCATCGTGTTTGACAAGCGGGTAATGTCTAACAGTTGAGATGCAACCGTCTTCAGCCTTCATCTTCGCCGAAAGTGAGCTTGACAGCTTTGGCCTTCTTCTTCGGTTTCTTCACAGACTTCGCTTCTGGCTTCTTCACATCTGCCTCTTCTCCTTTTTTGCTCTCGTCTTGGTCATCCCCGATGATCTTTGCCGCCTTGCGCTTCTTTGAGACTGCACCAACCTCAGCAATCTTATCTTTGGATTGCGACGTCGCATCACCATCTTTCTTCTTTCCAGCCTCGTCTGCAGCCGGCTCCCCTCCTTCTTTGTCGTCTTTGCCTGAGACAAGCGCATCATACTCCTCTTTACTCATCGACTGATTCGTCTCTTCCATGACATACGTAGGCGCATCATCATCGTCGTCGTCTTTCTTCATCCTCTTATTTCGCGCGATTGGATGTTCATGACGGGCTGTGTCTCCACTGGTGAGTTGCCCGCGCAGCCGCTGTAAGAAGGCTGGCTGTGAGCTGTCTGCGGCGAGTTAGCGAATGATACGATTGCGTTACATACAAACTTACCGAAATGGAGGTCTTTTGCTTTGAAGCTCATGGTGGTTGTAGTGCAAGGGATGTGCTGACACGGCATGCACATAAGGGTCTAGATTAGTCGTTTGGCTGAATGTCGTGTCGATCGCTTAGCGGCGGGTTTCCGTGCGGCTCCTTCGCCGCCTTAGCTGCGGATAGTTTACGATGCACTTGCCGTCTACTCTTGGTTCCAGAGAGAATTCACCCCATCGAAATGTCTAGTCGGGTGCCTAGATATGGCGGGCGAAAGCCCATCCCGAAACGTATTGGGCCGCTGCACCTGCTATCGGCATGCGTGCTAAAGGGCTTGGCGCGTTCCGCCGACAGGGAACATGTCAACTAGCAGATCTCGAAACGCATACGCAATCATCGGCCGCTAATAATTTACATTCAACGACCCTGTTCTCTCCTTTCACTCCCTCAGGGTTACAAGCTTAAGCCCGTCACGCCAATCGCCGACCCATCTCTGTTCTCGTACACCCACCTGGAGTCACGATCCACACGCTCGTTATCGACCAAGCTCCCTGGGTTGAACACGTCGCCCTTTCCTCATCCACAACCGTCGCATTCATTCGACGTCCTCTAGACCCCTCGAATTCGCTTCGCACCACTTGCGACTGGGCCAAAGAGCAACAGGGCTGCCATTGGCAGGAAATCGCATACCAGACACGCCACCACTTGGGCACCACCATGGGCTTCCTGCAAGATATGACGAGGAGGCTACCGACCTCAAAGGACAGTCTAGACAAGCTGGACGACCTACCGCGCCGCGCCGAAAAGAACTCCCCACGGTTGTCCTTCTTTCGACGCAGGATACGGCTGAAGGGGAGTTCATCCGTGTCGATACCTCTGGGCCTGGTGTTGCTGTTTCCATGTCTCGTTATAATAATAATCATAATTCTGTTCGTAAAGTCTCCCGACTCGCAGGGCATTATGAACATGCCCGCCGGCGGCCCTCCCTCGATAAGGTACGTGAAATCCCATCACCACAGCATCCAAACAACTTTTAACAATGCGCAGACGGATAAGCGAGAAGTACGATAAGCCATTCGCGGTAGGCTGCCTCGAGCCGCAGGTCAACGGACCCCGAGCAAACGCTGCATTCGTAGTCCTAGCGAGAAACAAGGAGTTGGATGGTGTCATACAGTCGGTCAAGTCGATTGAGAGACATTTCAATCGGTGGTTCCACTACCCATACGTCTTCCTCAACGACGGAGACTTCAACGAGACGTTCAGGGAGACGGTCTTGGCTCATGTCAGTGCTCCAGTGGAGTGGGGTAAGATCCCTCCCGAGCAATGGGGCTTCCCCGACTGGGTAGATCCAGATGTTGCGAAGGAAGGAATCGCCAAGCAGGGTGACAGGGCCATCATGTACGGTGGTATGGAGAGCTACCATCACATGTGCAGGTTCTACTCGGGGTATGTAACCTAGCATGCTTTCTCCTGATTGCCACTAACACGGACAGTAAATTCTACCAACACGAACTACTCGCCAAGTACGACTGGTACTGGCGCCTCGAGCCTGAGATCAAGTACTTCTGCGACATCACATACGATCCCTTTATCCACATGATCCGGAACAAGAAGACATATGGCTTCACCATCGCGGTGAAGGAGCTACGAGAAACCGTCCCCAACATCTGGCGATATGCCTCGGCCTACAAGCGTAACAACAACCTGACCTCCAAGGGCATGTGGGAGATGTTTGTGGAGAAACCGAAAGAGGAGGACGAGAAGGCGCCCAAGACAGAGCCCAAGTCGAAGAAGAACTTCTTTCCTCAGGATATAATGGATGCCGAGTTCGGCACAGAGGCCATGCCTGAAATCCACCCTGAGAACATGGAGGGCGAATCGTACAACATGTGCCATTTCTGGAGCAATTTCGAGATCGCGAACCTGAATTGGTTCCGCAGCAAGGAGTACAATGACTTCTTCGAGCTGATGGATCGCAGTGGTGGCTTCTGGATGGAGAGATGGGGAGATGCGCCTATCCACTCGCTAGCTGTTGGTGCACTACTTGGCCCTGAGGATATCCACTACTTCCGCGACTTTGGATACCGGCATACGACCATCCAACATTGTCCCGCCAACGCACCTGCGCGACAACTCGCCCGAGAGCCATATCTTGAGAAGACGACACTCGACGAGAAGGAGCGACTGGAAGAAGACAAGTACTGGGCGTCATATGACCCAGTCAAGGAAAACGGTGTCGGCTGTCGCTGCAAATGCGACCAGGACATTGTCGACGTAGAGGGCAAAGAAGGGTCCTGCCTCACGGAATGGGTAGAAGTGGCTGGTGGCTGGGCATCACCTGGGCCTGACGGACCATGATCTCTCCTTCTCGCGTGATATTCTATCAGCTTCAGGCTAGCATTTTGCGGGAACATTAGCATCTACTCCTCTTTCCAGTTAGGCGTCAGGTGTTGGCATTGCATATGGGCTGGGCCGCCCTTCAATAGAGCATCAGGACTACGCTGGCGTTGTTGCAGGCTTACTTACTTTCTGCGCATTGGCGACACAGTGTATGAGAACGAATACGAACAAGTTGAAACAGCTCTGCTCTTGAATGATGCCCTCGTTGTTTGGTCATGGGATTGCTTGCTTTAGATGACGGCCCCACCCCATTCGACGGGAAGGTAGAACATCAACCTCTTGAAAGAACAATATAAGTAGATCGACCAGGAATCGACATCGCCTCAGCATCTTACTCAGGCTTATTGTTGTGCTGATGTAGACTGCAGCGCGCCTGTTCGGTTTCATTGAATAAGGTGGCCTGCTTTGGCCATGTGAACTATGTTCCGTATCTTATCGCTTACTACGAGACTATGCGGGGTTACCCCCATTCGCATCCCACCTAAGCTCGACCGTCCATCAGCACCCTTGTCGTCACCACAACTCGCAGCAGTTTGAACAGTCGCTCGTCGCTCGCATTCACTGACAGCATTTCGATAGTCCTGCACTTCACTTATCAGGCTA